TTTTAAATATATAAAAATATATAATACAAAAATTTGTAAAAGGCTTAATGCAGAGCAACTCAAACCGTCCCAGAACAGAGTAAACTCTCATAATAGGGAAGACTGATCGCCTCAGAGCTAACAACACCTGCACACCAGATACGACAAGGCTGATCTAACCGACATCTTTACAATTATAAACAAATTGGAAGCAATTGATTCAGACAACATTCCTTAAAAGGTCCAAGGTAACTCTCACAATGGGCAACAACTTCAAACTCAACAAGCCACGAGGTAGGAGAGAACAGATATATTTTGGTCCATAGGTAAACAAACCCATGGAATCTCCTGGCCACTGAAGCTGTAAATGCCATGACAGCACTTCAGTTCACAACACACAACTGGGCAAATTGGCAGACGAGGAGTCACAATAACGTGGCTGAAATATGCTGACCAAACCACACACTAGAAAGTGAAGAGACGACGACGTTTCGGTCTGTCCTGGACCATTCTCAAGTCAATAGTGTGGGCAAATTCCTCGAGAACTTCCATAAATAACTGGCTTCTTGTCCCCATCGAGGCCACAAGGAATGGTGGCCCCCAGTGTAAGGTAAATTAAAGTATTCAAATATTCCAGATTCCAATATTCTTGTATCTAAACACTGCAGTGCCCCATATTACTATATCCTACGACTGGATTTATTATTAAAATGAAACGAAACCTGCCCGAAACGCTTTGCGTAATAGTGGCTTTAGGCATTGTATGTACTAGCTCTATCTATTAATCCAACAAACTTTGTAAAATCTCTTTATGTATGTACCTTACCTAAATAAACATTTATTTATTTATTTATTACAAACAGAAAAAAATCATGTTACTTAGGGGTTATAAGGACATTCTTCAGCTTCACCTGGGAGAGTGTTATACTTTCTCTGATATGGTTGACTGAGCATGTGCTGGACTTTTGTATTTGTAACGAGAAGAACTATGTATTCTTTAAATTGAATGTGTAACATAATATTGTAAATATTTATAAATTAATGTATATGGTATTTTATAGTTTATCACTAATTCGTTTTCTATAACGCTCTCATAACGCTATCCTTTTAAGAAAACGCACAATACGTTATGGGTAACTATAATAATATATATTCTGGATTGTAAATGATTAGTTGGAGAGAGTAGAGGCAGAGACAAATGGGACAAATGTTTCTTTCACCCTGATGCCCCTGTTATCTAGCAGTAAATAGATACCTGCGAGCTAGACAGCTACTACGGGCTGCCTCCTGGGAGTTGTGTAACAAAACGGAGGCCTGGTCGAGGACCGGGCCGCGGGGACGCTAAGCCCCGAAATCATCTCAAGATAACCTGTCCCCCGACACAATGAATTAAATTAAAAATGGTAATTAAAGTGCTTTTAAAAACTGAGGATATAATTACATCATCTATTACATAATTGTTGCATTACATAGTAAATATTGGGCACATATCCCGTGTATCATTATGTGTTCCAGTATTCATAATGTTTATAGAATTTAGAATATCTCAACACGTTGGATCTGAGGTCAGTCAGTATGGGACATTCTTCAATATAATGTTCAAAGGAATGTTCACATTGTTCACAAGGAACATTATAATGTTCACAAGGAGCATTATAATGTTCACAAGGAACATTATATTTCATTCATTATAGGAACATTATTTCTCCCCAATGGTTTCAACCCCTTTAACCCTGTCGTAGCTCAGTCGATTAAGGCAGTGTTTGGGATGCTCCCGGACGCAGGTTCGAATCCTCGTCACGGCCCTTGTGGATTTGTTCAGGAACATTATAATGTTCACAAACCTGACTCACGGTGAATTCGACACGAGTTTTGGGCAAGCCACCAGACCCATCTGTGCCCCAGACGTTGCTTGGCAGCTAAAACATGACATTACCGAGTTCTTGCTTTATTAATTCCATATACCAACGTCTCCTCACAGTATTTATCACAATGTATAATGCTACGGCATTCTAGAGGTCTTCGTGAATGTGTTAGGTCTATTAAATTTTCACCGGAGATTCCATTCAGTATTCTCTCTGTCACTGAAGATGTGGATTGAATTTTGTAACTAGTTCATCAAGACTGTAGCTTGCTTAGCTAAATGAGTTGTGGGATTCAGTCCCTGAGCCCATTATGTGCCTCTGTAACCCCTGTCTACCGACCACAGGACGGGTATTGGGTGCATAATAAATTAACTAAACTAACACTGCTAAGGAAACCCTTATGTTAATTTCTATTACTGGTCTTCTTCAGGTTGTCCTTGCAAGCAGGTCAACGGGATTATGCTTTGATATACAAATATATGATGACATCCATAGGAATTTAATCTCAAATCTATTTTCTTTTGCGGTTACGTATATTGGATGGGTAACTAATTCATCTTTTATCTGCTTCTAGGACCGTCAGTGTAGCACTGATACACGTCGTTAACCTGAGAACACGCTCTGATGCTTTTCATTGTTAATGGTTTAAATAACGTAGTGTGTACATTATCTGTCTTATTTGCACTTACGAAATCTATTAACCTGTCCAAGTTCTCCTGTGGATTGATTGGCTGACTGAAGATTAATTGGGTCAGGCACATATTTAACATTTTGATGGAGTTGGCTACCTTATAAAACCAAAAAACATAATCCAATTTCCATTTCCTATAGCCCTCAAGTGGATAAAACTTTGTGACAGCTTAGTTTCAGAATTCAAATGATGAGATTTACTCGGGGACCACTCCGAAAACTATGCTTATAGTCAAAAATTTCTCCCTAATGGTAAGTAATATCAGCCTCTTTTATGTGAAAGGCGGTTTAAGATGCTCGTAAAAGATGATCAATCTCAGCACCCAATTAAGGATGATAAATCCCCCAGTTGTTCTAAGTATTGAGTCCAGTACTCGGGTATATTCGCTTCCCGGACTCTAGAGTAATGATTTCTCTCACTCTTTATATTCGCTTGGTTCCAGTTATCACCAGGGTGTTGGTGCTTGGCCTGAAGGTCATCGAGCAGCCAGATAGGCGTGATCTACAGGGATTTAACCTCCGCTGACCAGGTAGTGTGATCTTGAGGACCAACGCTGTGGTGCATCTTGACGATACATTGTTTCCACTTCCTCTTGCTCCTTTTAAACAAATTTTGTCGGGGGTGGGGTGAGGGTATATACAATTATTCATAATTTAATACAGTAACCTTCCGTCGACGTAACTTGAGCTGCCCAGACCGAGAGAGCTACCATTGGGTGAAACGACGTAGATTTTTATTAACATTTTTATTGACAAAATTAAGTACAATTTTGCCTAATATGAGGATTTCAATTGTCTTATTAAAGTGAGGATAATGCTGGTATTCACTGTCACACAGTACAGAGGGTCATACACAAGGCAATAAGTCTAAACTGTAGGCTGTGTGGAGCATAGAGAGGAGGTGTAGGTGTGAGATATATCATGGTTACAATCAATGTTTTGTAGAGAGAGAGAAGTATTTCTAGTGTGTAGAGAGTAGCGAGTGAAGAGATTCCACTGTAAACAAACATTTTTGCTTGGCAGGCTATGAAACAAGTGATGGCATCTAAATGTAAATGGAGCAGTAGATTATGGTACCAGATGCTCATGAAGTTAGTAGCTCACGGTGCAAACACGCCAATGAGTCACAATAACGTGGCTGAAGTATGTTGACCAGACCACACACTAGAAGGTGAAGGGGCGACGATATTTCGGTCCGTCGTGGACCATTCTCAAGTCGATTGTGAATCGATTTGAGAATGGTCCAGGACGGACCGAAACGTTGTCGTCCCTTCACTTTCTAGTGTGTGGTCTGGTCAACAAACACGCCAATTCTGTTTTGTGGCAGTTCTTAGAGCGTCGGGCTTAACGTTCGTAGCTTTAGTAGAGAGAGAGAGAGAGCTCCAAGGCTCCTTGTTATGACGGAAGTGTAGACACGTCTTCTCAGATATTTCTAGATAACAGGAACTAAAGCATAACGAAAAACATTTTTCCTGTCCCTTATAGTGATAACAGTATCATATTATCAACGGTAATCCTGAGCAAGTTACAGGAGAGACTAAGTATAACATATAAGCAGAGGCCTCATTTCCAAGTGATGTCGGGGCACTTACCACAGCCAAACAATCTATTCATATCAGCATCACATGAAGGCTCACAAACAATTACAAACAATTATATAGGGTACGAATGAGAAGGGATACGAGAGAAATGGTAAGTGAGAAATTAAAAAAAAAACATTAAGAATGTGAGAGGATAAGTGAAGAATAAGTGAGAAATACGAGAGAAATGGTAAGTGAGAAATTCATCTTTATATTTCTTAATGCTATCTATCTTGACAGTAGAGCTGGCAGCGGTATAGGCATTACTAAGGCAAATATTTTTTTATGCTGATGAACGTGTTCTATCAACACTAAATCATTGATGCTCTAGACTTTGTTTCAACTATGTGAGAGATATAACGTTGAATACAGCCCACTTTTGATCTTTGCAAATATGGTGTAATTATTTTGAACGCAATAAGACTTGTCTTACCCAAATCTTGAGCTACAACTACTGATCAGAGAAATTATCTCGTTAAAGTAACCATGATATATCTGTACTTCAGCCTAGAGTTTAGACCTATTGTCTTGTGTATGATCCTCTGTCCAGTGAGACAGTGAATACCAGCATTATCTTCACTCTAATAGAACCTAATTGAATTCCTCAGATAATGCAAAATTGTGTTTAATTTTTGTCAATGATAATAATTTGTTAAAGTATTCACAGAAGCATCTGAGGTCAGAATATGTTCTCAAAGTGCTGGCATGTAAATTTTTCCGATACCGCCAGTGACCTGTATGCGGTATCGAATGCCTTACCAAGTGCACTGGATCATAGTGATGACTGATAGTACGATTAAAATCTTTGTCTGTGACCTATTTAATTTCAGTAATGTTGAGCTTGGTAAGTTACATTGCGATGGGAGGTAAAAACCAGAGATATATCTAGTTTTTTAGTTTAGTTAATTTATTATGCACCCCATACCCATCTTGTGGGCGGTAGTGGAAAGGGTTACAGAGGCACATAATGGGCTTAGGGACTGAACCCCACAATTCATTTAGAGATATATCTTGTATGTTCCTTCTCGCCATCCTTCTAACATTCTCTCTGGCGTGATGTCTGCACATGTACCTGAAGTAATTCACACATTATCTCCTTTTAAGTAAGAGACGCATCCATCCATCCACCAAACAGTCTTGGCTGCTCCTTCTGATATTTGCATTTCATTTGAATAGGTACTCAATGACGACCTGTTAATTATCATATAGAGATTATTCACCATTCATTCCTCACATGTCAAATTTTCACTCGAGAAATCTTAAATATATAATCGTTTTCGACAAATTCATGTACACGTCTGAATATACTTTTAGTGTCAATTTTTTTTTAATTATTAACCATTTCTGCTGAAAGTGTCAGCGTAGTTGAAGTGCAGTTTTACTGAAACGGAATATGGCACATATGACTCCACTTTCACTCGCCTACGACCAACCTAAGCTTCACTCTGAACTTCTTGTCGATATCCAGGAGTGCCATGGTGACTGGTCGAATGGCCCGGTTCTTCTTCACGAGCCTCAACATGGCACTGTCGCTTGGCACTGAAACGTCAACCGTAGCTTCCTGCATGTTGTCCTTAATGGGTGACGGGGCTTCAGTCTTGCTGGGTACAGATAATGGCGGATCTAGCGGCAATCGAGGAGGCAGGAGAAGCGGTGGACGGGGAAGAGGAGATTGCGGAAGGGAAAGAGTGGATGGTGTCAAGTAGGAGGATGTCTTCAGTCTCATCTTGGGAAGGTGACCTTCCTGGAGAACGCGGGAACGAGACTGTCCGGTATGGAAAGACCTTATGGTATGCTCTGGAGCATATCGACGAGTGGGCCCAGGGCGGTCCTTCGGAATGAGAGCGGGCCCTCGGCGTTGGTTCACTTTGGGTATGGTGGTATATGGGAAGATGTTCTTTGGCATATGGGCATTGCAATCGATCGTGGGCGACTCGTTCAAGATGGGACGTAGGGTCCTCGCAGGTAAGGCAGTTGTATCCGGGGTGAGGTAAGAGTGGTCAATATCTGAGTAGAGCGAAGTGCTGTCCTCTTCGAGTAACGTAGGAGCTCTCCCAAGTGGAAGAGTACAGCGAGGACTCGACTCCACCGGTGTGTCTACACAGTGGGTAACGTTTGATCGACGGCTCTTGGATTGCTTTCTTGAAGCTCTCGGCTTTGAGGAGAGACGTCGACTCGTCGATCCTGGGAGGGTATCTGAAGTAGAAGAATGTTCGAGTGAGGACTGGAAGTTCGAGGAGCAGGAAGTAGAATAGGCTGGAGTCCCACTCCGCTCTTCCCTAGAACCCTGAGACTGGAAGAGGTGAAGCGCATTTGAGCATGACATAGAAGTTTATTAGTTACAATTTCTAATCATTCAAATCTGTATAAACCCACAATTATAAATCAAAGAAAAATACTAGCAGCCACAGTGATGATCCTAGTGTGAGATGGGGGGATGTCAGTGTGAGATGGGGGGATGTCAGTATGAGATGGGGGGGATGTCAGTGTGAGATGGGGGGATGTCAGTATGAGATGCTCGAGTTGTATATTATCTAGTGAAAGAATTTAAAAACAATAAATGTTAAATTAATATTTTTCTTTGTTATTTTTTAGAAGGGGAGAGTGAGAAGGGAGTGGGGAGGATGCGGGGAGACGGAAGGTTGGGGAGAGAGGGATTATCTTTACAATCAATATTACTGACAAATATAAAAGACGAAAGATGGAAATTGAAAGTAAAGGTAGTAAAGCAAGGGGGTCATTAGCGGAGGAAATAAAGCTCAGTAAAAAATGTTTTCATCGACGTCATTTTTTGGGTGGAAAACGCAATCACTAGTGTATGAGCTGGACGTCAAAACCTGGCGTAGACGTCACCTGGACGTCAAGACCTGGTGTAGACGTCACCTGGACGTCAAGACCTGGTGTAGGCGTCACGTGGACGTCAAGACCTGGCGTAGACGTCACCTGGACGTCAAGACCTGATGTAGACGTCTCCTGGACGTCAAGACCTGATGTAGACGTCACCTGGACGTCAAGACCTGATGTAGACGTCACCTGGACGTCAAGACCTGGTGTAGGCGTCACCTGGACGTCAAGACCTGGTGTAGGCGTCACGTGGACGTCAAGACCTGGCGTAGACGTCACCTGGACGTCAAGACCTGATGTAGACGTCACCTGGACGTCAAGACCTGGTGTAGGCGTCACCTGGACGTCAAGACCTGGTGTAGGCGTCACCTGGACGTCAAGACCTGGTGTAGGCGTCACCTGGACGTCAAGACCTGGTGTAGGCGTCACCTGGACGTCAAGACCTGATGTAGACGTCACCTGGACGTCAAGACCTGGTGTAGACGTCACCTGGACGTCAAGACCTGGTGTAGGCGTCACCTGGACGTCAAGACCTGGTGTTGGCGTCACCTGGACCTCAAAAATGAGGAAGAATAGATGAGGAACGAAGGGATAGGTGGGGTATGAGTATGAGGTACGATAGGGTACGAATGAGAAGGGATACGAGAGAAATGGTAAGTGAGAAATTAAAAAAAAAACATTAAGAATGTGAGAGGATAAGTGAAGAATAAGTGAGGAAGAAGTGAGGAAGATGTGAGGAAGAAGTGAGGGGGTATGAAGGGCAATATTCTCACCTTGGAGAGCCAGCATTGATAGATGAGACAGGCGGAGCCCAGGAACACAACCAGGCCGCCCACGCCCACAGCCACGTACAGCCAGTTATCTGTGGAGCACAGCCAGGGGGGGGGGTGAGAGGAGGTGTGAACGAGATGAGATCGTGTTTAATAAATTATCTTCCACATTTCCGTGGAAATAAGACTAGTCAATAGCTCAGTTGATAGAGCTTTGGCTTCGCATGCGCGTGGGGACCCCGGTTCGAGTCTCCTAGAACCCAGGTGAATAGAATACATCTTGTCTGTTTCGTCATTTTGAAACTATAGGGGCTTATAGATCCGTATTTCTGACTGCGTATTTGCGTTTTTGCGTATACCTGTGTTTTCATTTACTAGTCTCAGTATACATTTGTCTATGAATATTTGTGTCTGCATATATATATCTATTCGTATGTATGTCTACATAATTATCTATATCTACGTATAACTGTAACCCGCGTATATGTCAATATATGTCTCTGGCATTGTGTTTGCGTCTGCGTATATTTCTATCTACGGCACCTCTATCAGACTCGTAAATCTGCATGGTCCAATATGCCGAACTGTTTCGTTTATTTTGTAACATTCTCGTTCCCGAAGGCAACAGAGTCGTGTGTTCCATAGCGCGTCTCTGGATAATCCCTGCAGCGTGTAGGAGCACCTCAGATGTAAGTTGCTTAGCTTAAGGAGCCACTGGAATCTATAGCTTGAACCCATGATGTGTCCCCCTCAAATCTGTGTACCACTTAACCACAGGAGGAGTGTGGGATCATTAATAGGTCTATTAAACTTAGATGTTGGGGGCACTGAGGCTTACAGTAAGTTTGAATTGGGGGTTTTAATAGAAACTGGAATGAAAGAGGTAATGGGGGGATTCCAATATGAATAGATTATAAACTGCAGTGTCAAATGGCACAATGATTGTAATAGAAGGTGGTACATTGATTGCAATGGTTTTTTTCTACCACAGACGAGGCCCCCCCCCCCCCCCCACACACACACACACACACATTGATTGCAATGGAAGGAGTTACAGTGATTGCAATGAGAAAAGAGAGCGTGATTGCATTGGGAGGGTGGAAGCGTACTAGTTTTAGAAAAGCATTGCTCCCTTTATGAACCTAATTACAGGATTGGGTGATGTATTTTTTCTATTTATATCTCTATTCACCTAACCTCCCCGTGTGAATACAATTTGAATTTCACCAGAAAACACGATGCAGATATATGCTCCTTGCAAGGTAATTATCAGGAGAAAGCGCTTAGCCATTGTGACTATATAGCAATTGGAAGGGATCAGAATAAGGATTTGGGATGGGACGGGGGGAAAGGAATGGGTGCCCAACAAATTGTACGGTCGGGGATTGAACGCCGACCTGCATGAAGCGAGACCGTCGCTCTACGGTTTCTTATTGGTATGAGAACCTTCCGTTATATTTAAGGGAGGGGAGACATGACTGTTAACTTATGTTTTGACCATTTTGTCCCCTATATTACATGTATTTTCAGGTCATCTCGTTAAACATCCAACTATCGAACGTCGTAATTAACACGGTTGACAAAGTAACAAAGAGTTGTTATGTATTTTGTAACCAGTTGGTCACTGGAAATGTATCAGTAAAAATGCACATTAAGAAAATAATGGGAGCAGGGCGGGAATAGAACCAGCGTCCTGGGTAGCCCCAGACGCTCGACTTAACCTCTTATTTCAGCGTTATATCAAATTTAGGACATGGTGGTCCACGGGTTAAGGCGCGCGCGTCTAGGACGACGCAGGACGCTGGTTCTATCCCCAAACCTACTTCTATGATTGTCTCACATACATGTTGACCAGACCACACACTGGAAAGGGAAGAGATGACGACGTTTCGGTCCGTCCTGGACCATTCTCAAGTCGATTGTGTGAGAATAGTCCAGGACGGACCTAAACGTCGTCGTCCCTTTACATTCAAGTGTGTGGTCTGGTCAACATATTTCAGCCACGTTATTGTGACTCCTCGTCTGCATTTTCACATACCTCCTCAGTTTATTATGATTTCCTTGTGTAAACTCCACGATAATATTACCTGTAAAGAAGTTCGTTGTCCCATCCATCTCTGATAGAGAGATTTTCGTCCTCTAACGCACTCTTAACTTCATGGATCTCAGTGGATAGGTGGCTGGCCTGGCCCCATCCTCCAGCTGAGTGATCACCCAAGGGACTGTCTGCTTTGGGAAGCTGGTGCCCGTTGTCGCGTAATCCGTGCTGTTCGTTCCGGCCTCCCTCAGATCATCCGGATAACACGGTTTCCGGAACACAGTTAGAGCTCTTTGCCCCACGTTACGGAATTGTGTTTTAGTCTTTAAAGGAAATGACTCGCTGAGAGGAGATAGTGAGATAACGCTCTCCTGAACAGAGCGGTGATCGGAATTGTCAGAGTTTGCTGCTGTCACGCGCCGTTGTTAATAGACAAAAAGAACGAAAGTAGACACACTAATTATAATTATTAAACGCTGAGCGTGCGAGCCGTTTCACACTAAATACATTATCAATACACAACATGTATTTTACTGAACAACGTTAGTTTGTTTACAAATACACTACACACATTTGTTCATGTCTTTATAAATATTTTTTATTTATATATACAAGAGTTCTTACATTCTTGTAAAACCATTCCTAACAGACATAGCGTTTTGGGCAAGTTCTTAATTAATCCTAATTTTCCCAGATTATGACCAGCCAAATTGTTAACAGCCAGGTATCCATTTACTGCTGGGTGAATAGTGGCTACAGTTAAGGATTGGTGCCAAGTCAATCTTCCCCAGCCAGGATACGAACCCTGGCCAAAGTGCTCCAAAAGCGCCGACGAGTGCTTTAGCACAATATATAAAATTCATTGTTGTTGAGGTATATCATTGCAAAATGATATATCATTGCAAAAATCGAGGTATATCATTGCAAAATGATACACTTCGTTATTTGTACGTTGTCTGGAGATATTAACTATTACAATTACTGCATGCTATAGGGGATGATTCTCCTGTAAGGAATTCGACGTCGAAGATCTTACAGGCGAATTATTTCCTAAATGTCAATTTTCAAATTGGAATTTCTCTCTCACAGCGTTGTCACCACCAGCTGTTCTCTTGAACCTGTCATTATGAAGGCGCTTCAGAACGTCTCAAGTGTTCACTAGAACGTTCATCTTTTTTTTTGTAACTTAAACGCTAAACAAAATAACAAAGTTACTACCATAAACCACTGCTGTGTTGGCCTCTGCGTTCACTCCATTATTTATTTGCAAATAGGCTCAGTGTACACTTAATCAGAATTAACGCAAAGGTCTTGTGAATGGACATACCAGAGTAAATAAAGATTCACATTTAATTCTGATTCGCTTAAGAAATGAAAACAATGTATGAAACTCATTTTAGATGTGATAGTAGAGGTTTCATTCCGGTTGTTTTTGCTTTTTTGTTTGCTTAAGTTAACCACATATTTTCATTTTCTTAGAATCTACTCTTAAGAAAACGGTTCTCATTTTTTATAGGGTATACTTATGTAATTTTCAGTTCTATTCCCCCCCCCCCTCTTCCACCCAAGGATTCAGTCAGGTTAATCGCCGAGAAATTCAAATTCAAATTTTTTATTCAGGTAAGAGTACATACATAGATGAAGAGTTACAAACATAAAGTTAGAATTATAGATAGAGCAAGTACATACAATACTTAAAGCCACTAATACGCATATCGTTTCGGGAAGAATGTCATACTACTGTGGTTGTATCAGATTACCACTAATCCTACACATTAATGAAGGAAAAAAGTGTTGAATTAATATTGGTCCACAAGGGACTGAAACGTTGTTATATTTCCAATATTTTCGGTGCGTATTTAGTGTGTTAAAAAGTTAAACACTTTATAGGATTGCCACCAGAGGGACGTCGACAAGCCAATAAGAAGACACACATATTTAGTGACTTAACCACTACAACTTTAACCACTGTCAGAGTAGTTAACAAATGGAATGCATCAGGCAGTGATGTGGTGGAGGTACCACATCACTGTCTTGTGCATTTAATTTGTTAACTACTCTGGCACTAAAAACGTTTTTTTCTAATGTTTTTGTGGCACATTTGGGTACTCAGTTTCCACCTGTGTCTCCTTGTTCGTGTACTCCCCCGTGTTAAATAATCTGCTTTTGTCTACCCTATTTATTCCTTTGAGAATCTTGTATGTGGTGATTATGTGTGTGTGTGTGTGTGTGTGTGTGTGTGTTTACTAGTTGTGTTTACTAGTTGTGTTTACTAGTTTTGTTTTTGCGGGGGTTGAGCTTTGCTCTTTCGGCCCGCCTCTCAACTGTCAATCAACTGTTTACTAACTACTTTTTTTTTCCCCACACCACACACACACACCCCAGGAAGCAGCTCGTGACAGCTGACTAACTCCCAGGTACCTATTTACTGCTAGGTAACAGGGGCACTTAGGGTGAAAGAAACTTTGCCCATTTGTTTCTACCTCGTGCGGGAATCGAACCCGCGCCACAGAATTACGAGTCCTGCGCACTATCCACCAGGCTACGAGGCCCCTGTGTGTGTGTGTGTGCGTGTGTGTGTGTGTGCACACTCGTGCTTGTATCTGTATGTGCTTACAGGGTCCAGCTCTAGCTCTCAGCCCCAATTTAGCCGGATGTTGCCTGTCTAATCACTAGCGCACTTTTCTGACTGTTTTCTCCTGCTGCTCAGATCAACAATAGCATATATCGTCACGATGTGCTTAGTCTGAAACTGTCTGATAGATATTACAAAGCGAGATAATTTTAAGCTATTATTTCGGTAGCCAAGATGCACTGAATTAGCAGCTGGCGTGAACTACACAAGCCTGCAAGCTGGAGACAACATGAGAATGGAGACAATCGACTTGAGAATGGTCCAAGATGGACAGAAACGTCGTCGTCCCTTCACCTTCTAGTGTGTGGTCTGGTCAACTTACTTTAGCCACGTTATTGTGACTCATCGCCTGCTTATGGAGACAACATGTATTAAATCAGATACTGAACTTGTGTAGTTTCCTCAAGATAACAGAAACCTGTTGTGTTTATGGCACTGTATCTAGATCTTGATTCTCTTGATATCTTGATCTTGATATCTCTGTATCACAAATATTACACCCAGATATTCATACTTGTCTCAGTGGGATTGGGTGGTTATACAAGTGGGATTGGGTGGTTATAGATAGGAGCTGCCTCGTATGGGCCAATAGGCCTTCTGCAGTTGCCTTTGTTCTTATGTTCTTATGTCTCAGAAGATCGTCATTTGAATAATATTCTCTGAATTGACAGCACATGAAGGAAATTCACCCTAGTTTCTTATTCCCCTCAGTTTTTCCCCTCGTCGTCGAGCCCGCTCCCCGAGGGCCGGTAGCCGTTCCCCTCACAATCTGCGGTCAAATGGCCAACCACAGGCCGGCCGTCCGCTTTATAAATGATGCATATCCGGACAGGGTTGGAAACCCTCTCGTATCTTGAATAATAACGAGGTTGAGGGTAGGTAGTGTGTCTCCCCTCCCCCCCTCCCCTCCAGCGAGGACTGGTGTGTGTGGGGGTTGCGACTGGGGGCTTGATGTCCGGATGGGGCCGGTTATTCCCCCCCCCCATCCCCCCTCTATTACGGTACTTTGTAACGAGATAATAAAATTGGAATCGAATATTAAACGGCTATATCCTTCCTTTGAGTAGGCTCGAGTTATGCTCGAATCATTAGTCAAGATGTGCTGTGTGTATATGAGAAGATTATCTTGAGGTTATCTTGAGATGATTTCGGGGCTTTAGTGTCCCCGCGCCCCGGTCCTCGACCAGGCCTCCACCCCCAGGAAGCAGCCCGTGACAGCTGACTATCACCCAGGTACCTATTTTACTGCTAGGTAACAGAGGCATAGGGTGAAAGAAACTCTGCCCATTGTTTCTCGCCGGCGCCCGGGATCGAACCCGGGACCTCAGGATCACAAGTCCAGCGTGCTGTCCGCTCGGCCGACCGGCTCCCTTATAATTAATAAAGGTTAATTAAGGTTCTTTATAATTAATAAAATATACAACAAATACAATAAATCAGTTTAAAATTTACCTAATCATTTATACTCACAGGATGTCTAGATGGTAGTCTACCATCTTTGTAGATGGTAGACACTCTGTCTACCGTCGTAGACGGTACGTAGACGAATACGCTGTACGAATACGTACAGCGTATTCAGACGCTGCTCTGAATACGACGTTAGACAGAGCAGCTTTAATGTGCTTCGATACTGCCGTGAGATATAACGTGAGATCACTCGCCTCACAGCAATGGTGTCTTGACATTTGGGTGACTTACTATTATCGACGCCATGTCATCAACAGGTATGAATCTCAAACCGCCTTACTGTCCCCATTCACACCGAAAATAGGTGTGTTTGCGACCATGCACAGTCTGACAAATGTAGTCTACATAGCCTGTTGTGCCAAAGCACAGGGGATGGCACCCTAGGCAGCAAAGTCAATGACATTATCACCCAGCTTTACAACAGCTGTGTGCCCAGCAGAAAGAGAGCCTCATTTCTGAAGGTCATGCAATCCTACTAATCCTGTTGGTCGCTCAGGCTGGATTACCGGATATCCCTCGAAGAAAGGTAGGCAGTTTGCTTAGTTACATTTACGTGTCAATCATGGCTAATACCCACAATGCCTTCAGTGTTGGACATGAAGTTAGAATGACCACTCACAGGGAATCATGAAAGACCTGCATGTTCAGAGAACTGGATCATTTGTACAATTGTCCCCATTGCTTTCGAGAACCTTGGTCCCTGGTTTTCTTTTTAAAGTGCTAAGAGTTTTTCAAGGATCTGGGTTGAAAGCTCATTCAAACAAGAAGAGACCCAAGAGCTGCCACCATTCTTGTCCAGTTCCTCAGTGTGGCATAACAGAAGAGGAAATACCCATAGCATTGTCGGGTTCCGCCTAGCATCTTAGAAGAGCAACAACTTGTGACAATCATTTTTGCATCATACATGTAACCAATCTTTCGTAAAGGAGCTTAAGATATATTAAACAAAATAAGTATATTCTAGTGTCTGAGACGAGAAGGAAGGAAGGAACTATCAGGGGGGAAAGCGCCAAGCCATTACGACTATATAGCAATCAGAGAGAGAATCATTGTGTATGTTCCAGGTACATGATTCTTCTTGTGTGTGAATTTGAGTATGAATT